TTATAATATATAGCCATGGACCCTGACTGCGGGTAACTCCATAATAATAATATAATGTAATACTATATACCATATACCATTATACTATACTACATTATAATATAAAGCCATGGACCCTGACTGCGGGTAACTCCATAATAATAATATAATGTAATACTATATACCATTATACTATACTACATTATAATATAAAGCCATGGACCCTGACTGCGGGTAACTCCATAATAATAATATAATGTAATACTATATACCATATACCATACTACATTATAATATAAAGCCATGGACCCTGACTGCGGGTAACTCCATAATAATAATATAATGTAATACTATATAGCATATACCATTATACTATACTACATTATAATATAAAGCCATGGACCCTGACTGCGGGTAACTCCATAATATGTATAATGTATTACTATATACCATTATACCATTTATACTATACTACATTATAATATAAACCATGGACCCTGACTGCGGGTAACTCATAATATAATATAATGTATTACTATATACCATTATACCATTGTACATTATAATATAAAGCCATGGACCCTGACTGCGGGTAACTCCATAATAATAATATAATGTAATACTATATACGTATACCATTATACTATACTACATTATAATATAAAACCTGGACCGGGACTGCGGGTAACTCCATAATAATAATATAATGTAATACTATATACCGTATACCATTATACTATACTACATTATAATATAAAGCCATGGACCAGGACTGCGGGTAACTCCATAATAATAATATAATGTAATACTATATACCATATACCATTATACTATACTACATTATAATATAAAGCCATGGACCCTGACTGTGGGTAACTCCATAATAATAATATAATGTAATACTATATACCGTATACCATTATACTATACTACATTATAATATAAAGCCATGGACCCTGACTGCGGGTAACTCCATAATAATAATGTAATACTATATACCGTATACCATTATACTATTCTACATTATAATATAAAGCCATGGACCCTGACTGCGGGTAACTCCATAATAATAATATAATGTAATACTATATACCGTATACCATTATACTATACTACATTATAATATAAAGCCATGGACCCTGACTGCGGGTAACTCCATAATAATAATATAATGTAATACTATATAGCATATACCATTATACTATACTACATTATAATATAAAGCCATGGACCCTGACTGCGGGTAACTCCATAATAATAATATAATGTAATACTATATACCATATACCATACTACATTATAATATAAAGCCATGGACCCTGACTGCGGGTAACTCCATATGTAATATAATGTAATACTATATACCATATACCATTATACTATGCTACATTATAATATAAAACCATGGACCTGACTGGGTAACTCCATAATAATAATATAATGTAATACTATACAAATATACCATTATACTATACTACATTATAATATAAAGCCATGTGGACCCTGACTCGCGGGTAACTCCATAATAATAATATAATGTAATACTATACTTGCTACCATTATACTATACTACATTATAATATAAAACCATGGACCCTGATACTTGGTAACTCAATAATAATAATATAATGTAATACTATACTCGTATACATTATACTATACTACATTATAATATAAAGCCATGGACCCTGACTGCGGGTAACTCCATAATAATAATATAATGTAATACTATATACCATATACCATTATACTATACTTCATTATAATATAAAGCCATGGAGCAGGACTGCGGGTAACTCCATAATAATAATATAATGTAATACTATATACCATATACCATTATACTATACTACATTATAATATAAAGCCATGGACCCTGACTGCGGATAACTCCATAATAATAATATAATGTAATACTATATACCATATACCATTATACTATACTACATTATAATATAAAGCCATGGAGCAGGACTGCGGGTAACTCCATAATAATAATATAATGTAATACTATATACCGTATACCATTATACTATACTACATTATAATATAAAACCATGGACCCTGACTGCGGGTAACTCCATAATAATAATATAATGTAATACTATATACCGTATACCATTATACTATACTACATTATAATATAAAGCCATGGACCCTGACTGCGGGTAACTCTATAATAATAATATAATGTAATACTATATACCATATACCATTATACTATACTACATTATAATATAAAGCCATGGAC